CTGGCCGGCGTGCGCGAACGTCGCGTGCTCCTTCTCGTCCAGCAGGATAATAATATCGCCCGGCTGAGATTCCGGCTCGTGATCGCCTTCGCCCGTGAACACGATCTTCTGACCGTCCCGCATTCCCTTCTCAATGTGCACTTCGAGGACCTTGCGTTCCCGCACCGTTTTCCGACCAAGGCAGTGCTTGCAGCGGTCCTTCTCCTGAATGGTTTCGCCCGTTCCCGAGCACTTGCGGCACACCTGTTCAATGTGCTGCATGATGCCGGGGGCGATTTGCTGGACCCGGGTCTCCACACCATTGCCCCGGCACTGCATGCACTTCTCAATGCTGCCCTTCTTGCCGCCGCGTCCCTCGCACTTGTCGCAGATCACGTTCTTCTGCAGCTGCAGCTTTCGGGTGGCTCCATTGTACAGCTCCTCCAGCTGCACGGACATCTGGTGCACCACATCCTTACCACGTCTCTCGCGTCGCCGTCCACCGCCGCCACCACCGAAACCGGCGCCGAAGAACTTCTCAAAGAAGTCCATCGGATTGCGGAAGTCCCCGGAGTCGGCACCTCCCTTCTTGATGGCCGCCTCGCCGCCATCGTCGTACACCTGTCGCTTGTCCGCATCAGACAGCACCTCGTACGCCTGCGAGATGGCCTTGAACTTCTCGCCCTCGTTGGGATTCTTGTCGGGATGGTACTTGAGGGCCAGCTTCCGGTAAGCCTTCTTCAGCTCGTCGGGTGTGGCGTTGGGCTTCACGCCCAGCAGGTCATAGTATCCAGTCTCCTTGACCATTTTGTTGGCTGTTTACTGCAAGTAGAAGCAGGTGGGAGGAAATTACTACCAGACTTTGGCAGAAAACAAAAAACTAATTCAAATAAAAATCAATTGATTTCGATTGTAACATTTTTAAAACTAAAACAAACTAAAGATTTCAACCACTTCAGTGGTTTTGCAAACAATATTTTTAAGAATGTATTGCTTAATTAAAGTCAGAGTCAACTGCATTTAATAAATATCGATATTTGTCCAAATCTAGTCGTATAATTTTGGGTAAAAATAGATAAGATAGATAGATTATATTAACATATTTTGATAGATCACAAAAAGTGAAAAAAAACAAAATTTGTTTTATTGTTTCTATGGCGTTTTTAAGTAGAGTTAGAAATACTTTTTAAACTACAACTATAATCGACATATTCTTCATATTTTGTGTTTTATCGACCTCCTTTTTATTTTTGCTGGTTGATGGGCTAGTCTAAGCATTTACCGGTTTTTATTTAGGTTTTCTAAAACTTTTGGCTTGACCATCTTTATTGATTTGTACAGCTGTCTTGATTTTGGCACAGTTTTTTCTCACTGCATGTGGGCGGTCGAAAGGGGTGGAGGAATTACCGGAAGCTAGAGCCCGGGTTTCAAGGTCGGCCCGCCGCCATGTGTTTTGCGAAAATAAATGCGACGTTTTCTCGACGATTTCTAGAACTTTTTCCTATTTCAATACGGCGAGCAGCTGACGCTCTCTTTTCTACCCTCCACCACTCCTCCCACGGTTTAGCGTACTCACACATACACACAGTTTCTAGAAATTTTCGTCAGCACGATGCAGCCCTGGCATACGAACGGCGACCGAAAAGCGAAGAGCGTGATAATGAAAAACGGGAAAGAGTACCACACAACGGGGAAAGGGCAAAGACTCGAAAATAAAATGGAAATAAATGCAAAACTGCTATTGATTTAATCTAAATCAATGAGTAAATCAATTATAGTTTTACCAAAGAAAGTCGAACACACATATACACACCTTTAGTGCGTTTGTATGGGTATCAACATGTGCCGCGCAAGACGCTGCGTCAGAATAACTCGATTGAACAAAGAGGAGGTGCAAATCCAGAGAGCCATCGATTTTGCAAAACTATGGCCAAAAATCGAAGCGAAATCTTTGGCCGAAATCAATTATCGCTGATTACTTAACGGGAAAAAAGAGAATCAAGCGAAAAGGAAGTGTCTACCAAGTGCACACGCACACTCACACATTTGCCCAATTCAAAGCGAAATGGGCAAAATCAGGTGGAATTATAGTTAACCCACCGTAACTCACCTTTTCCGCGTAACGTGTAGTGTCTAAAGCAAAATGGGCACTTTAGCAGCTGGGTTCCGTGAGGTTACACTTTTACAACAATTTTAATTCACTTCGAACACTTTTCAACAGCTTACTATGGCCGCCACGCTAGGAAGAAAATTCAAGAAAAGTGTGACCAGGGGGACAAGACGAAAAATACATTAAATTATACAGACCTAAATCGTGGATGGGAACTGTGACTGAAAGACCTGTTTAAAAATAATCTTACAACTTTTGAAAGACGTAATAACAGCCAAGCAGCGTTGGTATAAGACACTATATTTGTATATTGTATATTATTTAATGTTTGTTCGAGCCAGATCACCTATTTCAAAATAAATAACGTTCATATTAAATGGAGAAAGCTATCTCAAAGTTTCTTTGGACTTTTGCTATTTGTACGCATATATAGACAAATGTAAATTATTAAAACACATAAACATATTAAACGCAATTTTTTGTGACATACAAAGAAACTGACTGTTTCAAAGCCGATTACTTTAAAGGTGGCGGAGCAGAAAAACTTGTTCAGTGATAAGTTATCCAACACTGGTCAGTGATCATGTTCTGGTGAACGCAGCCAATATTCACCAGCCCTGCCAATGGTTTTTCGTCAGCTGTTTCGGCCTTTTCGATTGGTCACACTGTTTCCGAAATTGGTTATTCAATAAATATTTATTATATTTAAATTAATGAAATAAAATTGGATTGCACAAATGAGGCACGTACAATTCCTGGCCCGCACCGTCCTGGTGCAAAACAACAATGTAGAGGAGGCGTGTAGGTTGCTAAATCGAGTGTTGGGCAAAGAAGAGCTCCTCGACCAATTCCGCCGCACTCGTTTCTATGAGAAGCCCTACCAGGTAAGATTCTACATTTATTATGACATTAATATATAATTTATGGTGTTTCAGGTGCGTCGTCGCATCAACTTTGAGAAGTGCAAAGCCATTTATAACGAGGATATGAACCGCAAGATTCAGTTTGTTTTGCGCAAAAATCGAACCGAACCTTTTCCAGGATGCAGTTAGTCGATGTTTTGTAGCGTGTTTTTGGGGCAATAAAATCTAATGAAAACTTGTAGGGAAAAACTGAAGTTGTTTCACTATTGTTAAAACTATGGGGTTGCTAATATGGAGATTAAGAAATGGAAAGACCAAGTAACTTTTGTGCTACACACTTACTACCAAATATTATAAAGCAACGTATTTGCTTAAAAAAGTCAACTAATGCCATAGTTGGCTTTTAGTTTTCAGCCTTATGCTTCATATAAATAAATCAAATTACCAAGTTACGTTTTCAATTAATAAATAAATAATTTCTGGAAATATAAAAACTAAAATAAATTAGTTATTTTAATATTTGTTTTTTTATCTTTATACCCTGAAAGTATAAATATTTGCATAAATTCGTCCAGTGCACTATTGTTTTCTCCAAATATAGATTTTTAATTTCCTCGCCAAAACTGGCACAGTAATAAAAAAAAAACTAATCAAAAATTAAATCCATTTGGTAAACATCCGGAGGAGCGTTTGCTGCGCTGAAGATATTTATACTTTATGACGAAGTAACTTAATATGTTTGTTCTAGTTATAAAACATTTGAAGACTACATTATCATAAACTTTTTTTTTGATTTACCGTTATCCCTTTTAGCTTCACGGTTCTACACTCAATCAATTTATAGTATGTATACTTCTACCTGTTTATACCCTTGCAGAGGGTATTATAATTTCAGTCAGAAGTTTGCAACGCAGTGAAGGAGACGTTTCCGACCCTATAAAGTATATATATTCTTGATCAGCATCACTAGTAGAGTCGATCTAGCCATGTCCGTCTGTCCGTCCGTCTGTCCGTCTGTCCGTCCGTCTGTCCGTCTGTCCGTCCGTTTATATGCAAACTAGTCTCTCAGTTTTAAAGCGTTCTGCATGAAACTTTCCCAAAAGTTGTCTTTCTATTGCAGGTAGTATATAAGTCGGAACGAGCCGGATCGGACGACTATAGCATATAGCTCCCATAGGAACAATCGGAAAAATAATTGAAAAAAAATTATAACTTTGCTGTTTTTTAATTTTTTGTTTAGTTCTTCGACATATAGCAATGGTTAAATAATTCAGAATTATGGTTTAAATTTCATCAAAATCGGACGACTATAGCATATAGCTCCCATAGGAACAATCGGAAAAATAATTGAAAAAAAATTATAACTTTGCTGTTTTTTAATTTTTTGTTTAGTTCTTCGACATATAGCAATGGTTAAATATTTCAGAATTATGGTTAAAATTTCATCAAAATCGGACGACTATAGCATATAGCTCCCATAGAAACAATCGGAAAAATAATTGAAAAAAACTATAACTTTGCTGTTTTTTAATTTTTTTTTTAGTTCTTCGACATATAGCAATGGTTAAATATTTCAGAATTATGGTTTAAATTTCATCAAAATCGGACGACTATATCATATAGCTCCCATACAAATAATAAAAATATATAAAAGAACAATCAAATAATTAAGCTGCAAATCGTCATAGCTTCAATGTTTTTAAACATATACGCAAGTAAATCATAATTTTAATGTTTTCAAAAATATTTAATTCTTGCGATAGCTGCAAGGGTATATGAACTTCGGCTTGCCGAAGTTTGCTTTCTTTCTTGTTTTAATATGATTTCGTTTAAATTTATATACTTTGTTTATAAAGAAAATATCAACGAAACCCAATTTTACAGAGAATATGGACACACTATCGTGAGATCTACAACTTTTAAACATACATTTATTTTAAACATATATGTATATACGCTTAATAGATAGTGAGTGGTTTTTTTTATTTAAATTGAATTATAAATTTTGTATGTCAATAAACCGTTGCATACCATTGAGCACAGAAAAGTTTTACGATAACATTATAAGTTTCACTTTATTGTAATATTTTTTACAGTCTATAAATTTGTTTAAGGCCTTAATTGCCTCTTTATCCAACCTACAAAAGGTCCAATTTTTGTGAAGACTTCTGGATAGCCGCAATGTATTTGTCCATAAGAGGAAATGCCGGCTACATATGTGAATTCTTCGAAGCCACGTCCCTTGGTGGCCATTAGTACCCCGCCGGAAGTGAGCCCACAGGGGTATCTTTCATCCACAGCACAAAATTGTGTCCAAAAATCAAAGTCTCGATACAGTTTTGGACAGGTACTCGACCTCTTGACCATATTTTTCATCAATACAGTAGGGGTAACGTTGGTTTTCGTTTTCCCCCAGCCGGCTAGTTCTAGTCTTGAATTTTTTAAGTAGTGATTACCGTCCAGAACACATATAGGGTTGATTTCATTCGTGTAGCTGAAAGCGTAAAAACGTTGTTTAATAAATTCAAGCAATGGAATTAAGCATTACTCACCGTACTGGCATTTCAAGTCGCAGCAAGGCGATGTCGTTTTGGAATTCACTGGTGCTTCCGTATGCTGGATGCACAATAATATTTTCCACGTCGATTTCCAGATGCGGAGGAGCGCAAGTCTTCCTACCATTAATTTGTATAGTGCAGTCGGGATTGGTGGTGATGTCATGCTCGCCCAACCGCACACTCTTGAGCACTATGTCCGAATAAATCGTCCACTTACTGACCACACAATGTGCTGCTGTCAGAACGTATCGGTTGTTGATCAGTGAGCCCTCACAAACAGAGTTAGGGGACAGCTTCCAGGTCAGGCGATTCTCATATATGAGCAGAGCCATCCAGGGAAACTGGTTAAAGAAAGCCTCTTTGCTGTCAGTAGATCGGAAATCAGGTGGGCCCTGTCCGCAAATCATGATATTTGGCAGGAGGTCAGCTGGCTTCGGGCAGCAGATGTAACTCTGCCGAGAGATCATGTTAAGTGGGTCTGGGTTAGGACTGCATATTCTTTGCCTCAGCATTTGATGCACGGAATTCGTAAGTCCCTTTTCCTTAATAATATTCCATAGATGGGGACAATGGTCAAGACTGGTGCATTCCTCATCCAATGAACATAACGAATATCCTGCAACACATTAAAATGGGTGTCATGTAATAACTGAATACGAATCCCGAAAGATCTAACACTCCTGTTTATGCCAATTACCAGATTTTGCTAAATGCGCCACAAGAAAAACCCGGAGCAACAGCAGTACAGAAACTTTTATTCCGGGGAACATGTTGACGATGCTGCGTTTAATTTAAAACTGTACATTATTATTATCGCCTTTTGTCATTTTTCAGAGTTATAAAAAATGTGGGATTTTCACTGCGGGCAGCAATCAAATTTACGCGATTATTAAATATATATATTTTTAAAATTCGTTCTGTTATGACTTATGCTTCAAAAGATTTTAAAACAAGATTTTTGGTGTTATTCGAAATAAAAATTGTTGAGCCTTTGTCGGCTTTACAACTTTATTTAAAGAATCCTGGAATTGTTATTACTGTGTTCAGCGAAATAATTGACTGATTAGTTTGAAAATATGAGTTTTGAGATATACCCAATAGAGCAATCACTAATTTGTGAATTATTATTATCATAATAATTTTTGAATCATCGTCAAAAATAAGCACAGCTTATGATTCATTAGTGAATTTCGATACAAAATAGTTATGAGTTTAACATTGGCTGTCACCTAAACTCATAAAAAATGTTCTTTTTAATCGGAGCTTAAAACTTTTTTTAATAACCACGGTAATGTACATAAGTATTCTACTTTTGATGAGTAACCAGTGTTCAAGAAAAAAATGGTTTATTACTTTAATTTTAACCGATACTTTCCCTTAACGTAAATATGGTTATTTGTAATTCTGTTAAGCAAGCCCAATTACTCATCTTTATTTATTTAAATAAAACAACAAAATATATACACATGTGTTGATAATGTTCAGATTACGTATATTTTCTATGTAAAACTATAGTTTGTTCTTGGTTTGTTAATTTAATAATATTAATGTCAAATTAAAAACAGATAAACAAGATTTTTGCTTTTAATGATATATCCCACTAGTTTTGTTGTATTTGATAGTTTTGTTTCGATATAAATAGTGAAATTTCGTTAGCATAATGGGTTTTAGGTATTAAAGTTATTACAATTTTTAAGATAATAAGTCAAATTTATCTCCTTTTGCCTTCTCTCAGCTGACATCGTCTGGATCGATTTTATTACAAAATAAAATGTTAAGCTTGCAAATTCTGCTTTATCCATCCGAAAAATGTTGCAGTTTTTGTGTAAATAGATGGAACATTGTCCATTCCGCATATTTTCCGTCCATACGAAACGATGCCAACCACGTATATGTTTTCTTGGTAGCCCCGTCCATTAGGCGCCATTAGCGGACCACCAGAATCGCCCTGGCATGTGTCCCTTCCATTCTGGCCCCCTGCACAAATTTGCGATCTGTAATTAAACTTGGTTTCTCTGGTTTTGCATTTTTCTATATTGCTGGTCCTAATGGTGTTGTGCATCAACACTTCACTTTTTGATCCTTCTTCGTTATTCGTATGCCCCCAGCCGGCAATTGTCAGATCCAAGTTTGTCAAGACGAAAAAGTCTGGTGGAACACAAATGGGTTGTATTTGAAGAGTATAGCTAAATGAGTACGAATATTCAATAATAACATATTTTATTTGGTCAGGAAATCATTACTCACCGTACTGGTACTTCCAGTCGCAGCAAGGCAATGTCGTTTCCGGTTCTCCACCCCCTGTATTTGGGGTGCACAAAGATTTTCTCCACGTCGACCTCCAGATGCGGAGGAGCGCATTTTTTTTTTCCATTCGGTAGTATGATGCAGTCCAGATTGGTGGAGGTGTTATGCTCGCCAAGCCGCACACTCCTGAGCACAAAGTTAAATGGCAAATCGTTTTTGTCTACACAGTGAGCTGCGGTCAGGACGTAGCGGTTGTTGATCAGGGAGCCCCCACATAAGTGGACGAGGTTTGTGGAATTCTGGTACATTAACAATGTCATCCAGGGGAACGCATTAGGCTCCGTATCTTTGCCATTCAAGATTCTAGCAGTTGCTTTTCTTTGTCCGCAAAAATCCAATTCTGGCAGCTTGTTACCAGGCTGTGGGCAGCAGACGAAACCAGAATTCCGATTGTTGGGCCTATATATTGTATTCTGCTTTACGGATTCGAGAATGATGTGAATATTGCGGCACTCATCTTCTGTGACGCACTTCTCGTCATATTTACAATCTGAACATTCAGCTGGAGATATTGGGTGGTCATTACCTGTTGACGGGCAGCAGACTTCTATGTTCTTATTTAAGAACATCTTATCGATGCCACATCTCTTGCTATTTAGCGTTTTGATCACATTGTGCATATTTCCATTGGTCCTATAAAAGTTATATAAATCGGAACACATACCAAGACTTATACATTTCTCATTCGATTTACATGGTGCTGGATAGAGATTTAAATAAGTAACAGTTAAAATGTAAGCCAAGTAATAGATAAAGCCATCGGAGAACATATTTTGATCGATCTTGGAATATCATCGGGGCTAGTTACCATGTCTATACGAATGTGCCAGAAGAAAGGACTGGAGCAGGATCGAAATATACACTTTGAGTCCAAATAACATGTTGAACCGTAAAGGTTTAATATAGCCCGTATAGCTCTTTTTAGCCGTTGTATGTATGAGTAGTTGGTCAAAAAGGTCTGAACTGGAAAAAAAGAAAGACATACTTTGATTTCATTATTCAATCCAAACACAAATTTTTGTAATGTCTATCCCATCTGAATATATGAATCAGTTCGCGAAATACATCTGGGAGCAGCTTTAAGAAAAAAAGCCTTGGGCGGGGTATTGAAGACCCAAAAAATGATTATTCAACTTCAAAACTGGGCTGTTCTTGGATTTGAACTTGCAAGCGAAATGGAGGAAAAAACGACAAGAACACGTTAAAGCCGCGTATCTGCCACCTTCCCAGTATTGATATATATATATTTAGTGAACATCTTCGATTTTGATTTCTCGGGAGTATAGTACTCCTCGATGTCTCTCAACCGAATAGGAGGTGACTTCATGCCTGTATACACTCATAGGGTACATCACTCAAAGGAGTCCTCCATTAACGCAACAACATTGGACGACTATTTTGTCATAGCTGGAGTTTAACAAATCAACACCCTTGGGCCACACAATGGTTGTTTCCGCAAACATAAACAAAACCGATTATGTGGTCATAGTTGAGAAGTGGCTTGCAAAATTTTCAAAGGTTTTTACTTTAAATTAAACCTTCACTGAACTCGAACTCGAATCAAAATAATCGGTTAAAACTTAAAGGTCCTGGTTTTAAATTACACTTTTTAAACAAATTGCGAACAGTGACTGGTGCACCACGGAGTGTTTCTTATAGAAAACATCTGAAAGGGATTTTCACTCCGACGTTAAGAGGTAAAATATCCAGTGTGTTAAAAAAAAGTAATGAAAAGTGAAGCAAATTGTATATAAAAACCTTCGGTCCGTTAAAATGATGTTCCTCCATCAAAGTTTTATTCACTACTGCTCAACGATATAATATTTTATGTTCGTTGGCAGTTCAGTCGCTTAGGGTTTACCCATGTATTGGATGCCTTTACAATTTGAATGAGTAATGAAGTGAAATAAAAATACATTTTTTTTTGTTTTTTATGTTTTTAATTTAATATAGAAGAAAACATTTGTGATGGAAAAAGGAGTGTCTTTTATCTAATAAAAAATATAAATTAACCATCTCGATGAAAATGTATTTTTATATAACTAAAAAATAACACAACCGGCAGCAAATTTAGAATCTCCAGTTTTGAATAATTAATAATGTAAGGACTTAAATTTTAATACTTTACTTTTAGCCAAATTTGTTTTGTTATTAAAAGGGTATTTAATATTTAGCTGGGTTATTGACAAAATGTAGAAATTTTGTATCTCTCGTTTTCACATCTTGACTAGTAGCTTTAAGTGATGTAATACATTTTTGGCACAACAATAAAGTTTTAAATTTAAAATCAACACTCAAGGCCTTAGACTGCGCTGTATCCATCCGATAAATTTCTCAGTTCTTGTGTATACAGCTGGATACATTCCACAAGTATGACCTCCATAGGAAGTAATGCCGGCTAAATATACGAATTCATTGACACTCCTTCCCATTGTGGCCATCAGAGGACCGCCGGAGTCGCCTCTACAAGTGTCCGTTCCGTCCTGGCCACCTGCACATATCTGAGACTCTGGGCGGAATGAAAACGTTTTGTAGATTTTTTGGCATACAATTGGATTACTTCCATTTATGTTGCCCTGCATCAATGCATGTGAGCCTTGCTTCTGCGAAGTGCCCCAGCCGGCAATTTTAAATTGTTGTTTCCAATAAATAACAAAGTTGTGATTTGAGTAGTCAGGGCCGGGCAGAACACAGATTGGTTGGATTGCTTCTGTATAGCTGAAGGAATACGTTTGGGTAAGTAAATTAATACATATATTAATTAATATTTATAAAGCAGGGGGAATACATTTGTGGCATTAAAAAGTATACTGTACACTTATTCCATTAGTTCGTATCTATAAAGAAGTATTCTTTGATAGTTTCTATATAAAACCCTTACAGAAAGTGTTATAATTTCGGTCAATAATTTACTATGTAGTTAGGAATACATTTGCGACCTATAAAGAATTTCAGCATCACCAGGCGAATCAATATAGCTATATATATATATATTATGGTTTCTAAATGCAACTTTCCCAAAAGTTAAGTTTCTATTACAATATAAATATACATTTTACACATACTTTTATCCTTTTTAACTGGAAATCAGACATGTTTTTTTACAGAAGCTTTTTTAATCGCCATAAATTAAGCCGAATAAATTATTCAAATATATTTAAGTTTTTTCATTATTTTTCAAATTGGAAGTAGACTACTGAAAACTGTGTCGGAATGTAAAAGCATGACATGAATTGAGTTAGAAGCCACTTACCGTACTGGGAGTGCGAGTCGCAGCAAGGCGATGTCATTAATGTTTTTTCCGTCATTAACGTAATCCTCATGCACGATTTGCTCCTCCACGGCGACTTCCAGATGCCGGCAGGCGCATATCCTTTTTCCATTCCCTAGAGTGACGCAGTCGGGATTGGTGGCGGTGTTATGCTCGCCCAGGCGAACACTCTTGACCATCGAGTCTTTTTCCAATACTTCCATGCCTTTCAAGCAGTGGGCTGCGGTCAGAACGTAGCGGCTGTTGATCAGAGATCCTGCGCAGATGGTTGTGGGGTCCGGCTTCCAAGTTCTTTGATGCCGGTATAAAATTAGGGCGATCCACGGGAACCCGTTGAGGTCCGCCTCTTTGCCACTCATTATTCTCAAAGTGCCCTTGGTTTGCCCGCAGGTCCTGCTATCTGGCAAAATGTTACCTCTCAGGTCGTCACCCAACGGGCACCAGACGTGAATTCTGTCTGATAAATCCATATTTATATGACTAGGGTTATAATGGCACATTCTTGCCACAATATACTTGACCTGGGCCGTCGTCGTTAATGTCATGTCATTAAAAACATTATTTAATATGGGGCAACGGGACAGTTCGACGCAAGTCTCACCCTGCGAACAAGTCCAAGGCCTAGCTAAAGATTAAAATGAATTTCATGTAAATCAAGAACAGAAGCCAAAGTTAATATACCCTTTCAGCTATTACAAAAAATAAATTACTCTCCAAACAACTATCTTCCGGTTTTTAAAAGAAAAAAAAACATTTAATTTTGAAAGAGTAAACTTTTATCTTTAAGTATATTTAAATAAATTAAAAAATATGAAAGCTTTAACTTTTTAAATTATTTAATCATCAAGATAGCTTTAAAACTAAGAGACTAGCTTGCGGAGGAACAAAGAGACTGACATGGCTAAATTGACTGTCCCATTGATGGGTCTAAAAATATATCTACTTTATTTATTTATATGTACAATAACACACAAGGGCGTATCAAAAATATTGTAGCCCTACGACTTCTGATGAAATTCCAAATAACCTTGTCGCCCATTACCTGATTCAGCCAAATGTGAAAGGAGACAAGCCTGGAGCACAAACGGAATATAAATGTATTGTCCGAAAAACATGTTGAACCACTAGAATCTCAAATAAGACTAAGCTTTCTCTAAAGTCTGCCAGCATGATATAAACTTAATTCGGGGGACCATGATTCATGTAACAGAAGTCAATCGTATCACCCTTCCTATGGAATTTGTGACCCGATTACTACGTAGTAAAGTACAAGTTTTTTTTTTTCGCCCTCTGTGCTTTACTAGGAAACAGCTAAATTTAACTCGAATACAAATGCGTAAGTTAAGCCCAAGAACTGGGCGGTTTCCTTGAGAGGACATCAGTTGTGGTTATGATTAGCGGGTTGTGGCTCAAGTCCAAAAGGGATGCTGGAAGGGATGCTGGAGAGGGGGGCGTGGCGTCTAAATCTTGTTGTGCGCGTAGTTGTAGACCTGCTGGAACCCTTCGTCGTCGCCCTCGCCATCGTCCGAGTCATCGGAGTCGAATGTGTTGTCTGGGATGTCGTACAGACGGATGATCGGCTTGTTGGGGTCCTTCATGATCAGGTATTTGCCGTCCTTCTGCTTCATCACCAGATCGATGATGCACCGCAGGACGCCCCAGGCGTTGTCCATGCTCAGGTTGATCTGGGTGGCGAACTCGTGCGGCTTGAACTGCTGTGTGCCGAGGATGACATGGCGCGAGTGGTCCCTCGGGTTGATCCGGGAAACGTAGCCCAGCTTCAGCTGATCAGAACCTGCCAGCACCGCCTGTACAGTCCACTTGGCCAGCTTGCAGGCGTTGTTCCTCAGCTCATTGGCCAGCACGGCTCCGCGCTGCGTGTCCAGCTTTTGCCGCCACTCCACTCCGTTGGCCAGCTTCGAGTCCCACTCGTTGAGCGCCTTGATGGACATGAACTGCGGCTCACCGCTTGGCGTCTGCAGGACACCATCGTGCTCGCAACGCGCCACCAGAACCTAAAAGAAAAACACAATGTTGTTGGTTGGTTACTTTAGTTACATGAGTCCCTTACAGTCCAAAAAAATATATATTATCCCCTTCCTTGCGTTATAAACCTATGAGCTATTTTAAAATAACAAAATAAAAAATTATATACAGTAGAAACAGCAGCAGTTTGTGATTGACGCTCAAAATAATCACTTATTCATGCCTATAACATTATTTTGAATGAGTATGAGATGTAATACATCATTCATTTTCGGCTTTCGTGATAATTATAAACGAAAAAAAGGAAGTAATCTTCTGCTGATTCAGCTTAAAAAATATAGAAAATGGCCTTGAAAAACAGCGGGATATATGATATCTTTTGACTGTTTGGAATACATTTTTAAAATGACCTCTTAAAAGCAGCCAGTTCTACGATATCTTTTTGCTTTGACGGTTCAGAGAATTTATTCATCAAACAAAAATTATGAATTAGGCTGCTGACTCAGCATAGTAAACAAAATAACTTCATAACTACTAATTTAATAGAACGACTACTCACAATATCGCTTCCCAGCTCCCACTTCTTGTAGCGGTAGCCCACGCTGGCCACTTGGATATCCTCGTCTTCGCTAATGAACGGGTTGGGCTCCTCGAACTTGTACTTGGCCTCCTGGTCGCCAGTCTTCAACACCTGCTGGCTGAAGTTGTGGTTGATGAAGGTGGCCTCGATGGCCAGGTTGCGGGGCGAGTTGCACGAGCTGTCGTCGTCGGTTGGGGGTTCCACGCTGCTCTCGTTCACGGTCAGCAGGTCGAACTCGGTGTGGTCCCGCTTGTCCATGAAGATCTTGTCGCCTGCGAAAAGGAGATGTTATTGAGTGCGGTTTCTTGTTGGGATAGGTTTTCTAATTTGAAGCTACGCTTCTTCCACATAAAGTGTGTTTCGATTCTAATCTAAATTATAAACATTTTAATGACAAACTTTATAGTCTTATAAAGACTTAATTATCTTATACTAAAATGGTTACTAAAACTCTGTTTTGTTTTTCAATTTACAGTTCCCAGTAGTTGTTTAATATCAAATATGATCTTCCCCATGCAATTTATTTACACATTGCTCTTGAGTTATTTACAACTACCAACACCTTAATTACATATATATATAGTTTACAGTCCATAAAAATATTTGGTTGGTTAGCTAAAACTAAATCTTTGCTCTGCCACATATAGATGTGGCATAGATACGTACTGATAATTTTAAGGATGTTGATGATGACAACACATTTATCCTAACCATTCTACCCCTTTTATGCTTTTCATTAAACCCATCGATTTTGTCGAAGATATTTTCCCCGATGTAGCTGTATACTAAACCCCAAAGTCTCTGTGATAAATGTTTACTTAAGTATATCGCTTTTTTAGCTGTCATCTTCAGTCACTTGTTCTTTTCCTCTTCAATGGAATATGAAACATACCGACTTTCTCGATGACAATGTCCCAGGAGTAGTTGGATCGCGTGGAGCACATGATGGTGGCCAGGATGGCGTCCGTGGCGAAAACGTTGCCCACGGTCTTCGAGAGTCGCCGGATGACGGGATCGTCTGTGGTGGTCACCGTGTGCACGATGCGGTCGATCTTTTGCAGTGGCTTCTCATTCTTCACGTTGATGCGGTCGTAGGTCTTGTCGTAGTACTCCAGCGTGCCGCAGGTGGTGATGTCGACGCCCTCCTTGATGTTGGGCAGCGACAGCTTGATCAACCTGGGGAAGTCCATCTCCTCGATGGAGGCCCAGTCGGCGCGCACGGCCACCGAGGATTCGCGCATCTTGGGTGGCGGACCGCGGTGTCCGAACTTCTTGCCCATGCCGCGACCATGACGCGGATCCCGGGCCTTTACGTTCTTGCCACTCAGCGTGGTCATGCCGTGGGTGTTCAGGCCACCGCGGGCATTCCTTCCGCGTCCGGAGCGCGAGTTCCTCATGTTCCTGAAACGACCGCGCTGGTGCGGTGGCTTCTGGACACGGGCCGTGTCCACCAGGTGGAAGGTGGTCTCGTCCTCCTCATGGTAGTACGAGTACTGGTTGCCCGTGCCAAAGCTGGAGGCGTACTTATCTGAGGGGAAGGGGATGCAAAAACACCAAATGATTACAATGTGCAACATTTATTGAAGTTTACAGTGCAACCGTATTGCCGTCGGATTCTGAAAGGACTCATCGTTCGTTCTGATTTAAAGGCGATATATTTAGCTTTAATGTGGGTATGGACAAAAAGTGTACCCAGTGTTTAAATGTGTCGGAAAAATACCTTCATATTATATGTTGATACTGATTCTGCTTCTCTGTTTTGAAAACAAATGCTTGTACCTTTTACTTTGTGGTGTCTTAAGATACAACAATGTAACGGACGTTACGAAACAAGGTATAAATATAAATACTAAGTTGAAAGGTATAAACACACTTGTTTACCTTGGTAATTTAAAAAGTATATCTGCTTAAGAGTGTTTATACCTTATTTGTTATGCAGTTTTATTTACCTTATAAATATGCCGAACTTGCTAGTAAAAATACTTATATCTTTAACTAGTAATACTTTTTAGCTAGACCCTTACCTAGTTATATGAATCTAGGTACTGCCCTACAGTGCTTAAGAGATACTCCAAATCTTTATGTGGCTATACTTTCCAACTGCGAGCTTAGCCAATGGACCCCCAAAAGGGAGTTTTACTAGTTTTGATGAGTACATTCAGTTTATCAAATCCAAAACGCAGTAACATTTTCCTTGTTGCACTGTGTTACCTGCCACGACACAGCTACATAACCTCACTTTCGGCGGAAAGTTGGGGGCTGGCCGGGATTGGATGACTACTCACTCTGGTACTTCTTGTCGTTGTTCGAGGTGCTCGTCCAGTCGCAGATCTTGCCCAGACGATCGTTCTTGCTGAAGGGCTGGTAGGGGACATCCTTGAAGGTGTCCGGTAGTTCACAGGGACCCCATCCCTTCTCGTTAAACTGCACGGTCGGCTTCTCGAAAGTCGGGAACTGCGCCGCGGTATTTATGGTCTCGCTCATCTCGCGCGTTTTCCTGTTGCACTATCTGCAGTCTGATATCCGTTCTGAATTCAGCGATTTACCAGCAATTAACAAATAATTGTGGAAAATAGTTTTGTCGCGTGTTGCGAATTCCAGGGCTGCCAAAAAGAGACAACTAGTCTGGCAAGCCTGGCGAATTTGTTCGCCAGCCCTGAACTAGGTGGCACTCTTTTGTTATTGAGTCCGGTGACGCTGCCAAATAGAGGTGGAGAAACATCGATGCCAAAATCGGTGTCATCGATGTTTTGAAATCATCATCAGTTTCATCAATGGTCGTTTTCAGCAGAACAACATGATCACTTTGTTCTGCTGAACGTCTATGACATTCACAGCACGTACATATAATTTTGAAAAAGACCATATATCAACTGCAATGGGGATATAAACTATGCTCGCCAAAGCCAAATAAGATCCAAATTGACAAACTTAAATTTTTTAAGCAGGAACATAGAAACAAAAAAGAATAAAAGTTTTCTTAAAAAAATGTATTTAAAGACATTGATGTTTCGATGTTTATCCACCTCTCACCACTACTGCCAAAAAAATACTACGAAAATACTGAGTTATCGATTGTTGCCCGTCTGGCAAGTCTGGAAAATAAGTTCGCCACCCCTGCGCCAGGTGGCAGCCTCAAACGAGGTGGCACTCTATTTTTCTGAAACTGGTTATTCTGGTTGTGCGTCTGGCAAGCTTGCTTTCTAATTTTCAAAAACTAAATATCTGGCAAGGCTTAAACTTAGTGGCAGCTTAGTTGACTAAAAAATTAGAACTAGATGGCGCCACATTTGGGCGCGAAACTTAAATTTCTGGCAAGGATTAAACTTAGTGGCAACTTAGCTGACTAAAAAATGAGACCTAGATGGTGCAACATTTGGGCGCGAAACTTAATTTTCTGGCAAGGCTTACACTTAATGGCAGCTCAGTTGAATTAAAAAATGAGACCTAGATGGCGCCACATTTGGGCGCGAAACTTAAATTTCAAAACTGAAAATTTAAGTAGGTAGTTCGACGTTAATACTAAAATACAATATAAAGAAAGTAGATCAAGGAACATATGTTCCTTTTTACAAATTTAATTAAAAGTAAATTTAAAATAATTTTAAAAATAAGTAGGCAATATGCACAATTTATTATTCGTAGCCGTGTGCTCCTATAGACTTTTCGAATTCTATTTTAATAACTTTTTAATGTGGTTTTTGTTGTTGAAAACTGTGAACGATTGTTTCTTCTGCTCTTGGTTGTGCAAGGAGCACTCGACCAGCTCAACAGGATTCGTAGAAGCAAGCCTATACAAGTAAAGCACTCGAATGTTGTAAATAAATTAATAAATATAAAATGTAATAATCGAATTTGTTTTATAAAAAAATTTGTTTCAGCATTGATGCTCTGTAATAATTCAAATGTTGTTTTTCTTAATTTATTTATTTTTATATATCAAGAACCGATATAAAATGGACGACATATTTACTCGCAGTCGTTGAGCTTCTTTTGAAACTTTATCTGATACGCGGCGCAAAAAAAGTGATCAAAATCTTCAGTTAAATTCGCTGACAGGTTGGCATCATAAATCTGAAAATCGATAAGGTTCGATGTATATTTCATTACTGTCTCATTGCTTTTACCTACGTTATCCAATGCAATAGCGGGCACTCCCAAAAACGAGACCTTGGACGTTTCTTCGCCGTACTTTTGCAGTATGTCGTCTACCTGACGCGTTGCTTTGCAGTTTTTGACTTCGGCCACGTCGATTTGGTAGCGATCGGAGCACTTGTCCAGCCTGTTCTTCTTGCCCCTCATCATGCAGGCGATCAGCTTCAGGGACTCGGCAATGCTATTATGTTCCAATATACAGGCATGCCAGGCGTTCAACTCACATTCCTGGACTCCATGCTGGCAGGCCACTTTTCCGGCGTCGTCGGTCTGGGGAGGATTAAGTGCGGTTTAAATGCGGCTTAAATGGTGATTACGTTTGATGGATCCTAATAAAACCCACAGTGAGCCTGTTTTTATTACCGTTTAATTAAAGAGTTTGCGAATTATCAGCTAGTTTGTTCACCTATAAAATTTACAACTATAATTTTGGTTTTTTTACGAATCCTAAATTTAATTAATTGACTTACTTCAATGACTATTAAAAAAAAGAATGGAGAAAGAAAATGTTAATATATATCTGACACCTTTCACATTTTTAAAATTAAATGGTAATTTTTAAATATTTCTTCGGATTATAAAAGTTACCACTTCTTACAATTTTATATTACATATAGATGTTACATGCAAGCTATTGTACTTTATATAAGATTATCGAGAAATATTGAAGAAAGGTAAATAATTCTTAGCTTATTTTACGAGGGAATCATTTGCTTAATAATGTTTGTTTAATGGTTATTATTATTCTTGTTTTTTTATGTTGAAATCCATTTCAGCTTTGAAAATACAAATTTTATATATTAAATTTATGATTATCAAACTTGTGCTGGTACCCAATTTTTTTTCTCCATTAATTTTAAACCTTTTAAATTAACTGGGCAAAAGATTTAATCTTCTTCTCTCTTAACTTTTTCACTTATTATTATAGAACTTAAAAAATTTTAAACTTACTTTGGCATTTCCATAGGGAATCAGCTTAAGGTTGGTGTATGGCAATCGATCTAGTCGCACCATCGAAGGACTCAATTGGGTGGTGACGAACTCCATGCAATAGGGACACAATGCCTCATAGTACAGGGTAACTGGCAGTCTGTCAGTCTGCGGTCCACTATGGCGCTGCAAAGTCATATTCAATGATCGTCGCAAATTCGGTGTCAACTGGGTCACTTACCCTTGCCGTGGCCACGCCCACCAGTCCCATCAGCAGGCACACAAATGCAATCGTCCTCATGGCAGTTTTAGTTTAATTCCGAGCTGATCTTGAATTCTTCGGCCGTTCAACGCCAGTGGCCGCTCGACACTGAAATAAAGTCTGGATTTGTTATTCCCAGCTTTGTCGCTGCTTTTCGACAATTTTAAAGCGGACAGTGGCGTAGCCGAAAAAAAACAAAGGGGTGCTTGAATGTTTACCGTAAAGTAAATAAGAATTGCCTCAATAGCATGATTCTTACAATGATATTATTCGAAAGACATTTATAAAAAAGCACTGCAGAAAAAGAAATTCTTATATTACATTACGATTTACATCCATTAAAAACAATACAGCTTTGTAGAAATTTGATGGTTAATTCTAAGTGTTACGTTTTTTTAATTTAATATATTTAAGAAATTAGATTTCGTTGAGTTCTACAAACAAAATGCTTTAGATTTAATTAAATATTTTATATTGTTAAATAACATAAAAATTGGACACATTTATAAACATTTATATATGTATTAATGTCAGTTAATTAAAATGTTATATCAATGAGACATACGATGTGTTTAACTTTTATTATATTTTGTACATTTTTCTGTGTAGAAGCTATATTTATTTAATCTTTTCTTCGGTAATTTGTTAAACAAACGCTAGCTGGAATGCAAATATTTCCCTATTATTTGTTTTTAATTTAATGGGTATAGGGGTCACTAGCCGATTCCGTTTAACTACCAATTAAGGTAAATAAAAAATACGGCGAAATGAGGAACTGAGGAATCTAACGACTTGCTTCCTCTATGAAAACCCATTGTCCCCTGTGGTCGGCGCCCCTGCTGCCAGCGAACATTTCCTCGCAGATTCATGCTGAGCCCAAAACAAAGTCCACAAAAACCACAACTGATTACGGGGAACAACACACAGTCCAGAGTCATTTAATCTTATTATTAGCCGCTCAGAAATCTGTTCCCGATTAGGATCTGTATACAAAAACGTTGCTGATAAGCTGATCTATTTAAATTTCTATTTACCTAATCTGAGTCAGCCAAACGACCAACTGACCGGTGGAGTGTAATTATTGTTTATTGGTTTTGGCGCATTAAAAAACATTACTCATCATATCTCATTTATAAAAGTGCGCCACAAGTGGGCAGTGTAATGTTGAACTTCTTCAAATACTGTTTACAGAAGTGCTTCTCAAAGTTGTTGCGAATGCTTCTCTGTCCGTAGGGATCAAAGTCCTGAAAATTAAATTTATAATTAATGACTGAATTCTGGTGAGTATGTGGACTGGAATGATGTTACTCACATTCTCGAACACAATGCTGGGCACGAAGGAGAGGCCCAGTTCAAGGGTTTCCTTGCCGTAGGGCGCCAGAATGTCGGGGGTCTTGCGCGAACTTTTGCATTCCCTGACTTTGCTCACATCCAAACGCATGCTCCTGGCACAATTGTCCAACTCATTTGAGTAGGATCTGAGCATGCAGAAGACCAAATTGAAGGCCCTTCGGACCTCAAAGGCCTCGATAATGCAGGCGTGGACGGCATTCAGTTCGCACTCTTCTGCGCCGTGCTGGCAGAAAACCTCCATTTCACCTTTGGATGTGTTGTTGTAGAACTGGAAAATACAAGGTTTTAATAAGGTCATTAGCCATTAATCTAAAATGAACATAATCTGTGAATATCTGTGAATGAACATAAGCTCTTAATTATGAACAAAATAATTAAATTATATATATTTGACTCTTGCAACCATATGAACTAATTTTAATTCAACCGATCTTTATCCTTTAGAGAAATTGCAGTTTTCATAAGCTACATAGATCGAAAATGTTATTTAGTTAAAATCAAGATATTTGTTTTGAAGATGTTTTGTAAAATGTTCAGTTGTCTTTTCCTAAAGAGTTTTATGTTTATTACTAAAACTTTCAATAGTAAAATAATACGTTTTTCTAAACTTTTATGTAATTAAATTACTTATATTGTTTGAGAAAATCAGTGAAACACAACATTCTTGAGCACAAAGGCTTGATAGGATTAAATATCCTATAAAAATATATAAATATTAAAAAAAAATATTAACCAAATTATAGCAAGTTTTAAATTAGACAACAAAGTCTAATTATGATAATATGAATACAATATCAATTCGTATTTTTCATTCTTTTTCAGTTAGTCAGTTCGAGTTTAATGGTTTGTTTGCATATAAGTCTGTAGACTAAGTAAATACAAATGTTTTTAAATTGATCTAAGAATAAGTTGAAACGAAATTAGGAGTTAATACTTTTATTTATACACATTATTGTTTAGCAGACTCACCGACGCCTTGCCGAAGGGATATAGCTTAAGATCGGTGACGGGCCACCAGTTATTGTTTTGCAGAGCATCGTAAAGTCGCCGTCGTATGAAGTACATGCTGTCTGGGCATAGGGCCTCGTAGTGGATGGCCACCAGTAGTTTTCCTGGAGGAGCAGGAGCAGGAGCAGGAGTTGATTCGGGGGTCGCCTCAGTGACCTTTTCCGCGGATTGTCCATTTCCGGCCGTGGGCCAAACGCACAGCAGACAGCACAGGGCACACAATAGAATTCCAAATATTTTATTCATCGTCCGGGCTCTGTTTTCGCTCTTGGCAGCCTCACAAACCAAACACAACTGCTCTTTTCGACTTGCCCATCTCACTGCGCCGCTCTACATAAACAATCTCGCACATCTGTCACATCCACACGAATATATAGTATTCCCCATACATATATTATACATATAGTTCTTCCTCTCCCATTTCTCTTAGCATTTGAAGAGCAGCTGCTCTCCTTAAATATCATAGCATCTCATGGTCATATATCTGTAATCTGAAATCTTAAACTGCGATTTAACCCACTGAACTTCTGGACTTTTGATAAGAAGAGATTATGTGAGAACAGTTTATGCTGATATCGAAAGATATACATATAAAATATATTTTGAGAACGAAAGCTAGGTTATTTATAGGGCCACAACGATAAGATCTTTCCATTTTCCCAGAATTTCTAAGCTAAAAACTATATGTATTGGCATATATATACACAAATCTGTTTGAACCTCTTTAATTTGCATTACCTAAGTTTTAAATCAAGGAGTTAAATATTTGCATGTCTTTAATTATGCTGCAATCACTGGAAAACAATAATACACATTTCCCTAACACAAATTGTATGGCGGAAATTAAATTGTTTATAAAAAAAGTGTTAACTATGGGCTGCATGAAAAGTCAAGTGTAGTGTATTATTAAATAAAGGCACTAATTAAATGATGCCAGCCATTGAACTAATTGAATTAAACCGGTTAGCGCATGAATTTAGATATTAAGTAGTAATTAATTATTGCCAGATAATTTCATTAAAAGCATGACTCTGCAACTAAGGAAAAGTTTATAGCAAAAATTAAAAAAAGAAGGAATACTTTAAATAAATTCTTCAGAACCAGGCTCTGGAAATGGGTTAATGGCCAATGCCGTGCGTTTACCACAATTTAATGTGTCGCATGTGGCCAGTGGGCATTGACAAATCATAAACAGTGGGCTTTTATCAACAGTTTAAGCGGAACAAGTTCATCGCACTGTCATGTTGCTAATTGACAGACCGGCAATGGCTCCATTTTGAGTGGCGTGCCTTGGAGGCCGGTCCAAAACGGTGTTTTTGCTTTGTTTATCATTTTTTATTTATATTCGTATGTTTTTTTTTTGGCCGGCAAACCAGTTGGCGACGCATATATAGATGTAACTGTCGCACAAGTTGGCTTGCACAACGAAGGCGAAGGCGAATGCCATTGACCATCGTCCATATTCCACCACCGACGTAAACGTGATCGCAAACGTGGCCGGCCGGCCCGGCAGTTGAGCAATTTCAATTTCTTACTAATTTTCTGTGGCTCTTAATTGCCAGGAAAATGTTTGGCATTGTTGCCGGCCACTTTTATGGGCACGTCATCTCATCGCTGAGCGTGTTTCATGGTCAAGGTTTGCATGCAAGAATGCCTCCGGCTACCACCTGCACAGCAAAAAAACTAAAAAAAAAAACAAACAGATCAGGTCTAACTAGATATTGGCATATCAAAAGTTACAACAATTTTCATATTTTGCCATCATTTAGGTATGAATATTTATTAATTGTCCCCTTTCTAATATAAAAGCAAGTAACAAGCAATGATTAACGAAATAACTATAGTTTGAAAATAACAGGCAGGTTAAGTTTATATATTGCACACACCAAATTTTTCAACTTAAAACAGAGGTAAAGTACATTTTGAAATTGTTGGTTATTGGCTGGCACTAAGTACAATAAAAAAAATATATAAAAGAAAATATAAGAAACGTAATTAGGCGGTTTATACAATTTTGTAATAATTTTTTATTAAACAAATAAAAGGTCTACAAGAATTTGTATCAATTTATTGTGTAATTGCTTACACAAAGATTTATTTAATAATTTTATATTTTATAGGATAATTATAGAATATATATGCCTTTTAAATTTTGTATAAAGAACTAGAAGAATATTGAATATTGAATCATCGATAAGCCAGCTCTGTTGGATATCTTTATACCCTTGCAGAGGGTATTATAATTTCAGTCAGAAGTTTGCAACGCAGTGAAGGAGACGTTATCGACCCTATAAAGTATATATATTCTTGATCAGCATCACTAGTAGAGTCGATCTAGCCATGTCCGTCTGTCCGTCCGTCTGTCCGTCTGTCAGTCTGTCCGTCTGTCCGTCTGTCCGTCCGTTTATATGCAAACTAGTCTCTCAGTTTTAAAGCTATCTGCATGAAACTTTCCCAAAAGTTGTCTTTCTATTGCAGGTAGTATATAAGTCGGAACGAGCCGGATCGGACGACTATAGCATATAGCTCCCATAGGAACAATCGGAAAAATAATTGAAAAAAATTATAACTTTGCTGTTTTTTAATTTTTTGTTTTGTTCTTCGACATAGAGCAATGGTTAAATATTTCAGAGTTATGGTTAAAATTTCATCAAAATCGGACGACTATAGCATATAGCTCCCATAGGAACAATCGGAAAAATAATTGAAAAAAATTGTAACTTTGCTGTTTTTTAATTTTTTGTTTA